ACTAAGGCTGGGGGGGGGGGCCTGCCTGGCACGGCTAGACCACAGTGCCCATCAGTGAGTGTCAGGTCAGGAGACAGGCCACACAAAGCTGGGCCTTGAGATGGATTAGCACAGGTCTTGGGGCAGACTGTGTAGGGGATATGTAGGCTCACCCCTGTAGGTCTGTAGTACTCACTGATTTGTGTGAGAGCTGGGGGTGGTGACAGGGTGAGCTAGGCATGACCATGGAACTTACATTCATGGAAATGGGTTGGAGAAGGCCAGACTGGGCCGGCCGTGGTTGTAGCACCAGCAGGCGCACCCAAAAATTGGGTCTGGGCCATAGCACCCATCAGCACATTGCAAAGTCTGGGACTGGGAAGGGGGGAAGGGCTTTGCACTTACCGGCATACATAAGATCCAGGTATGGGAGTGGGCCTGGTTGGGGATCTTGGAAACTCCCTTACTAGGTCACAGCTTCCACTGGTGAGCACAAGAGCTAGGGCTGGGGCCTGGCTGGGTAGGGATGCTCCATTTGTTGGCATGTGTGTAAGTAGACTCAGGGGGAGGGCTGGGCTGGGCTGGGCCTTAGCAACACTGGCGCGTGTGGGAGCTAAGACGGGATGTAGGCAGGTTGGCCTAGGTCAATTCACTCACTGGTTTACATGAGAGCCAAGGATACAGGTAGGCTGGGTAGGGCTAGATTGCAGCACCTACCAGCAAGAATTGGGACTGGGGCAGATCAGGCAAGGCCAGGCCAGGCTGCAGCATTTGTTGGCAAGTGCTAGTACATCCAAGATCTGGGCTGGGAGCAGGCTTGGTAGGGGAATTAAGGGGATTCCCCTGCTAGGCTGCAGTTCCCATTGGTGAAAATGAGCCTTGGGGTTGGGGACTGACTGATTTGAACATGACTACAGCACCCCTCAGCATGCATGTGGGCTGGGTCCAGGGGTGGAAGGGACTGGGTTAGGCCCCAGCATTTGTTGGTACTCGCAAGAGGCAGAGTGGGTGTGGGACGAGCTGGGTTAGGTTGTGGTACCCACCGTTCAACATGAGGGCCAAGTCTGGGAGTAGGCCAGGTGGGGCTGGGCTGTAGCATCTGTTGGTGAGAGCTAGAATGGGTGTTGGCCGGTCAGACAAGGTCTCAATATCTGCTGGTCAATGCCAGGACTGGAGGTGGGCCTTATCAGGCTGGGCTGAGCACTCACTGGAATGTATGAAATCTGGGCTTGGGAGCTAGTCTGATAAGGAAACTTGGAGAACTCCCCTAGTAGGCTGGTGAGTTGAGAGCTGAGGCTGGGATTAGTTAAGGCCAGGCCACAGGTTACAGGACCCATCAGCATGCATGTAGACCAGGTCTGGGGGTGGGCTGGGCTAGGCCAGCTGAGAGTACCCTCTGGCAAGTATGAGAGCCAGGAAAGGGTGCAAGCTGGGCCAGGTTGGGCTGCAATACCTGTCAGTTCACTGAGGGCTGGGAGTGGAAGCAGGCTGTGCTGTGCTAGGCTTTAGCACCCATCAGCATAAGCTAGGACTGGGAGAAGGCTGGGCAGAGCTAGGATTTGGGGCAAAGTGGGTCATGCCAGATGGCTGCAGCAGCAGTCAGCATATACATGATCTGAGGCTGGGACGAGCCTGGTAGGGAACCAGGGGTAGACCAGGCGGGGCAGGGCCACAACACTAATCAGCTCACATGTGAGCCGAGTTTGGGGAAGTACAGGCTGGGCTAGGTCACCATATCCACTGGCACAAGCAAGAGCCAGAGTAAGTGCAGGCCAACTGGGCTTTGCCGCAGCATCTGCTGGCAAGTGCTGTGATGGGAAGCAAGTCCTGTTGGGTTGGATTGCAGCATCCCCTGGCAAGCACAAGGTTTAGGGTTGGGAGTTGGCAGGGGAACTGGGCACTTCTCTGCTGGGCTGCAGCTCCCGCTGGTGAGCATGAGAACCAAGGCTACAGGCGGGTCAGGCTGGACAAGGTGACAGTACCAGTCAGCATATATGTGTGCTGAGTCTGGAGGTGGGTCAGCCTGAGCTAAGCCATAGCACCCCTGGGCATGTATGAACCAGATGGGATGTGGGATGGGATGGACCAAACTACTGCATATGTTGGTACGCGCTGGAACCAGGACTGGGGGTGGGCGTGGTGAAAGTTATTGGGGGTTACCCCGACTAGGCTGCAGTTTCTGTTGGTGTGCGTAAGGGCTGGGTCTGTGGTGGGTGGCTTGGGCTAGGTTGCAGCACTCATCAGCTGGTGTGGCGGATGGGGTTAGGAATGGAACTGAGCAGATAACTGCACTCACTGGGATGTGTGTAGACTGATGTGGGTGATGGACTGAATTGGACCTTGCACTAGCTGGCCCATACAAGATTCAGGTGTGGGGTCACTATAGGAGAGACTCAAACTCTGGCCACAGGGAAAATCACAGGATATGTGTCCTTGGAGTGCAAGCATCAGGACTGGGCCGCCTTAGTTGCTGATGCCCGTTTAGTGGGCAGCATGCTCAGATGCACAAGGGAACATGACGGCCAGCTCATCTACGCCAGCAGAGACACTGAGTGCCTCATAGGAGAACGGAACGAGCAGTCTGCACAACTCTCCTGGCCAGAAGTTTTGCAGCAAGTGTCTGGGCGGGAGGATGTACTAAAGTAGACTTTGTCAGCCAACAGACCTTGGAAAGATTTTCTCCACCCTGGAGCAAGGAAACCAACAACTTCTCGGGACTTAACTCAAGCAACGCCCTCAGAACATTCTTCCCCACATTGGGGTCTCTAAGGTGATAGCAAATGACCATCTTCCATCTTTGGTGCTAATGTAGTTTGGCAGTAAGGAGTGGTCCCCTCCCCCACACAGGAGAAAAAAAAAAAAGTTGGAAACATTTGTACTACCCTCCTTCCTCCATATCTCGACCTTTCTCATCTTAATTGGTGGCTGACATATGCATACATCCTTCTCAACTATGCAAATAACATTTAGTAAACAAATAAATGCAAAAATACATATAAAAGTTTGCTGGTATGCGTCTGTGGCACGGAAGGTTAAGCCACCGCTTTGGATGTTGAGTGCCTGGCAGACAGAAGATGACGGCCCCTGTCACCCACCTCCAAGGGACACCCAGATTGAGTTACTGGCTTCATCCTGGTCCAACCCTACCAGTTCTAGACATCTGGAGAGTGAACTAGTGGATGGAAGATCTCTCCATCTGCCCTTCAAGCAAATAAATAAGTAAGTCTTAAAAGGAGCATGCACTTGAGCACCGTGTCACTCCTGCTCCTAGCTCAGGGCTGAGCGAACCACACGGAGTGACACCTCCTGGGAGGGCACAGCAAGCAGAAGGCCATGCAGGGACATCCACAGCGCCCTCATGGGTTTCTTTTTCTTTCCTTTTTGTAAAGCTTTTTTTTTTTTTTTTTTTAATAGGAAAGGCATATTTACAAAGAGAAGGAGAGACACAGAGAAAGATCTTCCATCTGCTGTTTCACTTCCCAAGTGACCATAAAGACCAGAGCTGAGCAAATCCGAAGCCAGGAGCTTTTTCCAGGTCTCCCATGTGGGTGCAGGGTCCCAAGGCTTTGAGCTGTCCTCAACTGCTTTCCCAGGCCACAAGCAGGGAAATGGGACAGCCAGGACATAAACTGGTGCCCATACAGGATACTGGTGTGTGCAAGACAAAGATTTAGCTACTGAGGCATCAGGCCAGGCCCACCATAACGGGTTTCAACATGGGGGGTGGGCAGTACAATTTTGTTACTTTTTTCACTCACTTTGCCAGCTCCTTATAGCGGCTGTGAGACCTGACCATGCAGGAAAGGTGAGAGGAGGAAACAGGTCTGAGACACCGCCTAGGGTCAACTGAAACTCACATTCCTGGGGAACTCCCGTCTACATCCACTAATACAATCCCACCTGACCTTCAAATGACTAACTCCCCTCTTCATGTGACAAGTCATCACTGTGGGCAAGTGTCTGGCCTAGTAGCTAAGGGGCAGGTTAGGATGCCTGAGCTTCATAGCAGAGTTCCTGGGTTCAGTGTTTGTCACTGCTAACCACAGATGCTGGGAGTCAGCAGTGATGGGTTCCAGCCACAGATGAGAGAGACCTGCACTCAAGTGCCAGCTCTCGGCTTCAGTGCAGCACTATACGCTCACGCTTGGCCCAGGTAGGCATATACAAAGTAAAACAGCACATGAGCGCATTTCCTTCCAGATCAGTCGGACAGAACCCATTGAAGAAATGCTTGCATACTGGGCTGGTCTGAAGCCATGATGGAGACATTCCCTCACTCTCCTGGAATTTACAGTCTGATCAGAAAGATGTGGTTATGGCTGGTTATGCAGAGAGCACCACGGAAACAACAGGGCTCTGGGGCTATAAGAGGAGCCCATAGGGCAGCACACTGCCAGTATGGGAGGGAGCCCAACACGCAGGGTGGGGAGGAAGGTTTCTTCTGGTAACAGGGGACCCAGGTGGGAAAGAACTTGAATCAGAAAGGTTGTAGCAATCCACTATGTGTGTGTGGGGGGGGGGTTGCTGGGAGCCACAGGCTGCGGTGAGGAACCTGGACTGTGTGCTCCAAGCATGCGGGCCACTGAGCATCTGGAAGCATGTGGCACCTGACTGAGGTTCTAAAGGTTCATGGTGCTGAGGGAGTTGTCAGTGTGCCAGCAGCATCACGAGCGGACTCTTCCCAGGCCAGCGGACACCCTGACCATCTCATGGTGTGGTCTTCTATACCCTGCCCACCGGTTCTCAGAGACCCCTTCCATCAGGCCCTGAGTGGCTGCATCCAGACTGCACACTGAGTCTCTTGGGGGGCCATGGGGTCCCTGCCACTGCTTTGATTCTGGTGAGAGGTGGGGATGGTCTGTCTGAACCAGAAGCACCAACTGGCAAGCTCCCAGAGACAGAGCAACTGGTCATGAATTGGGGTGTTGTGTGGCATGTGGGGAGGGAGTGGCTGGGGGTGCCAGACGCGGGCTATGCTCAATGGGGACCAAGAGAGAGGCGGCTGAGGCCCCGGGGCTTACCTAGGTTGCTGTCGATCTTCTGGTGATAAGCGCGCAGGTGTGCGTTCTTGGGGTAAGCGTCAGCGCTGCTCACAGAGCTGGCCCCTCCAGGGCTGGAGTCTGAGTTTTGAAAGAAACGCCGAGAAGATGATGAACTAACTTCGCTTCAAACACTGCTTCCCCAAACCCGTCTTAATCTGGAGAGTGGGTAGCAGGAAGGAGGGGGCTGGTTCTGAGGTCACCCAGCTATGAGGCTGTTTCTAAATGCACAAAGGAAAGCCCTGTTATCTCAGTTCACCTCTTCGTTTTGAGGCAGGTGTAGAGGGATGTGTGTGTGTGCGCGCGTGCTCTTTTTCTAGATTTCGTACACTGCCTCCAGTGAGGACCTGCTAAAGACATTCTATGGATGCAGAACTGATTTGTTTTCCATTCTTGCCAGTTCACCTGCATCGCATGAGTGGGCACTGGATGCAGAGGTCAAGGCAGAGGACTGGCCAGAGGACCGATGACAGCAGCTGGCAATGGAAATAACCCGGATGGAACCGCTAAGTGGTACTCTTCAAGGAAATGTTGCAGTTTAGAAAAGTGTTCAAGATGTCAGAGGAACAAACAAAAGCAGGGGATAAAAACATATGAGGGTACCTCCAAAAGTTCATAGAAAATGGAACTAGAAGTTTATTGGAGTGAGTGTTGTGGTACAGTGGACTAAGCTGTTGCCCAGAATACCACATCCCCTATCAGAAGGCCTGAGACCGAGTTCTGCCTTTATTTCTGACCCAGCTTTCTGCCAATGGGCCTAGGAGGCCTAGGAGGCAGCAGATGAAGACCTAAGTCATTGGGCTGCTGCCATCCATGCAGGAGATGTGAATTTGAAACAGGGATTCCTGGCTCCTGACTGTGCCTGACCCATCCCTGCCTGCTACGAGCCATTTGGGGAGTCAACTAGTGGATAGGATCTGTCTCTTTCAAATAAAACACAAATTTAAGGAGATAAATGAAAATAACCTCAGAGGAAGACTTTCATAAAAACAACATATACCCCAAAATGAGAGCTCGCTTTCATGCATTAAAATCAGTCGTGTCTTTCAGGCAAATTTCCTGGGACCTGCGTTTCCTCCCCCTCCCGTGGCTTTCATCTTTCCAAATTGAACCATGTGGGGCTCCCCTGCCCTAAACTTGGCCCCTCCTCAGCACACCAGCTGTAACTGGGAGTTTCTGGGGAGCATCCTGCTATCCTCCAAGGCAGCCTTGGGAGTACGTGGCTTCCAACATTGATTTATTCATTATTATTTGAGAGACACAGTTATAGAGAGTCCTTTCATCTACTGGTTCACCTCTCATACGGCCACAAGGGTCAGGACAGAGCTGATCTGAAGCTGGGAGCCAGAAGCTTCTTCCAAGTGTCCCATGTGGATGCAGGGTCCCAAGGACTTGAGTCATCCTTTACTGCTTTCCTAGGCCATAAGCAGGAAGTCAGATGAGAAGTGGAGCAGCTAGGACATGAACTGATGCCCATATGGGATCCTGGCACTGCAGGTGGACTGTTAGCTGCTTAGCCACTGTGCTGAGTGCTTACTTTTAATTTAGGAAGCCAGAGTTATAGAAGAGGGAGAGATAGAGAGAGATCTTTCATTCACTGGTCCACTTCCTAAGTGGCTAAAACAGCCAGTGCTGGGGCCAGGTGGGAGCCAGGAGTGAGGAGCTTCTCCTATACAGGAGGCAGGAACTCAAACACTTGGGACATCTTCTGCTTTTCCCAGGCCATTAGCAGAGAGCGGGATCAGAAATGGAGCAGCCAGGACTTGAACCAGCACCCACCGGGACATCATAAGCAGGGGCTCTACCTGCTACACCACAAAGCCTATCTCAGCATGATTTCTACATGCCTGGCTCTCTGGGGGCTTATGGAGGGTCCAAGAGGCCTGCAAGCCTTTGCTGACCAGGGCTGCTTCAGGGTCTGTCATTCAACATTACTGGGTTGATTTGACACATAGCACATTTTTATCTTGCATATCTTGTTCAAGCCACTGCTTCTCCTCCTGCTTGAGTCAGGGGCTACATGAGGATCCTTCAAAAAGCTCAGGGAAGCACATGTAACGAATAAACTATACATGGATTTAGAATCATTTTGCACTAAAGTAAGCATCCTTTAATTCCGCTTATACACACACACACACACACATACCACACACCTTTGAAAAACAGCTATTTGAGAGGCAGAGAGCAAGTGAGCGAGAGCGAGAGAGCAAGTGAGAACTCACCCATCTACTGGTTCACTCCCACGTACCTACAACAGTTCCAGGTTAGGCAGGAGCAGAAGCCAGGAATCAGGAACGCAATCTGGGCTTCTTCAGCGGGCGGCAGGAACCCCCAAACACCAGAGCCATCCCCAACTGCCTCCCAGGGCTTGCACAGCAGGAAGCTGGGGTCAGGAGCTGCAGGTGGGTGTCCCATGCAAGCTTTGCAAAATATTTACTTACTAGGTTGTTACTTCCTTTTCTTTTTATTTATTTATTTATTTTATCATTTTACTTAAAAGAGTGACAGAGAAAGAGAGACAGACAGAGAGAGAACCAGAGAGATATCTTCCATTTGCTGGCTCACTCCCCAAGTGGCCACAATGGTCAGAGCTGAGCTGGTCTGAAGTTGGGAGCCAGCAGCTTCTTTGGGGCCTCAGACGTGGATGCAGAGGCCCAAGGACTTGAACTGTTCCACTGCTCCTCTCCCAGACCATAAGCAAGGAGCTGGATTGGAAGTGGAGCAGCTGGGACTTGAACCAGCACTCATATGATATGCCAGTGCTGCAGGCTGAGAATTAGCTTGCTATGCCACCACACTGGCCTTTCATAGACCTTCACTCTCTTAACAGTAGCGGAAGAGCAGGGAGGAACCCCTCCATAACACACCTCCAGCTATCTGAAAGCATGCTGGGTCCCTAAGCCCTTCCACCCAGATGAGTGATGCCAGAAGTTGGAGGCCCTGCCTATTGCCAATGACAGCCCACTGGCACCTCCATGTTCCCCTGGGGACCAATGTCAAGCCTTCAAGTTCTGCCCCCCAAATCCACTCACCGAGATCGTCCAGCTTCCTGAGGTTTGGGTGGCTGGCCTGGTACTTCGCCTCCTGTTCTTTACTTGTACTGATAGCTTCTTTCAATCTGTGGATGAAAGTGTGGGGGAACGGGAAGTTTTCAAAAAATGTAGAAACATCTCTGCTGTGGTGATACGACTGTCAGTACTTCCAGTGCCTCCGGGGTGATGAGCCCCTGGTCACCACAGCAGGACCTTCAACAGTCCCAGCCTGAGATGACTCAGGGCAGCCAGCTGAGGATGCCCTTAGAAGCATCCCAGGAAAAAGAGGGGTCCTTAGGATCAGGGGGAAAGAAAGCAGATGACGGTCCAGCATGCTGGCTCAATTGACTAATCCTCCCCTTGTAAGAGTCTATATGGTAATAGGCTCGTGTCCTGGCTGTCCCACTTCCCATCCTGCTCTCTGCTTGTGGCCTGGCAAAGCAGTTGAGGACGGCCCAAGGCCTTGGGACTCTGTACTCCAGAGGGAGACTCAGAAGCAGGTCCTGGCTCCTGGCTTCAGACTGGCTCAGCTTCAGCAGCTGTGGCCATTTAGGGGTGTGAACCAGAGAATGGAAGATGTGGGTAAATCTACTAATCTTTTTTGTTTTGTTTTGTTTTTTAAAGATTTATTTATTCATTGGAAAGCCAGATATACAAAGAGAAGAGACAGAGAGGAAGATCGGCCGTCCGATGATTCACTCCCCAAGTGAGCGCAACGGCCGATGCTATCCTGATCCAGGATCTGGGAACTTCTTCCAGGTCTCCCAAGCAGGTGCAGGGTCCCAAAGCTTTGGGCCATTCTCGACTGCTTTCCCAGGCCACAAGCGGGGAGGTGGATGGGAAGTGGGGCTTCCGGGATTAGAACTGGCGCCCATATGGGATCCCAGTGCGTTCAAGGTGAGGACTTTAGCTGCTAGGCCATGGCGCCGGGCCCTAAATCTACTAATCTTAAAAAAAAAAATCCTTCTTACCCTCCTTTGAGCCTTCCTTCCCCACCTCCTCCCCGCTGCCTGTCTCTAGTGATAGTGAGTAGAGCAGGAATTTACTGGAAATCCAACTCGGGCACAATCTGCAGAACAGGTGCCAATGAGATACATGTAATTAAGGCGGGGGAAGTTTACGAGTTTTAAAACACTTAGACCTGATTCCCGCTTTGACAAACAACGTTTAGGATCCCTGCAAGGCTCTGGCGAGGCCTCAGATTCTCCCATCCGTATCCAGCTCCTCTCCTGCTAAGCTCACCTGCTGCTGGGCTGGGGTGTGACGGTGCCGTTCTGTTCCGGGGGCGTCTCTGCTGGCTTGGATTTGAAGTAATTGACGAGGCCCCCAAACACACTCTTGATGCTGTTGATGTGCCGCTGGCTGGTCTTCAGATCTTGATCCATTTTATCCACCATCTTCTCGGTGCGTTCTAAGACTCCTCGCTGACGCACCAGTTCCTGGAGAAGACAAGCGATAACCGCACGGGGCTTCTGGGAATTCTCTGAGCGAGGAGCTGTCCACACGTGGTGGCCACTTCAAAACCAGGAAGTGAGCACACCTGTGGGCAGACAGCCTCATCTGTGAAGGGCATACTATCCTTCCTTGCCCCCCGCTTTTTAAAGATTTATTTATTTTTATTGTAAAATCAGATATACAGAGAGGAGCAGAGATAGAGAGGAAGATCTTCCATCTGTTGATTCACTCCCTAGAGGCTGCAACGGCTGGAGTTGAGCCAATCTGAAGCCAGGAGCCTCTTCGGTCTCCCACACAGGTGCAGGGTCCCAAGGCTTTGGGCCGTCGTCCTCGACTGCTTTCCCAGGCCACAAGCAGGGAGCTGGATGGGAAGTGGGGCTGCCAGGGTTAGAACTGGCGTCCATATGGATCCTGGCACATGCAAGTTGAGGACTTCAGCCACTAGGCGATCACATCGGGTCCCTTCCTCCCTTTCTTAATATTTATTTTATTTTTTATTTAAAGGCAGTTTTAGAGGGAAGGAGAGAGAGAGAGAGAGAGGGAGATTCCCCATCAGCTAGTTCACTCTCCAAATGGACTCAACAGGTGAGTCTCGGCCAGAAGTAACATCAGAGTCTTTCGTGAAACTGGAAGGGGCCCAAAATCTTTGGGACAATCTTTTGATGCTTTCCCAGACACATCAGCAGCGAGCTGGACAGGAAGTGGGGCAGACTTGAACCGGCACCTAACTGCCACTGTAGCACAATGCCAGCTCCGTCGTTTCTGTAACACATCCTCTCGCATCCTCCCCTGGGTCTCTACATTCACCATCAGGTCCCTTTTCCGGAGATGCTGGCTTATCCGCCTGCCGAGATAGACAGAAGGATGCCTGCAGGGGACTCTAGCCCCCAAGCCCTGGGAACCCTGATAGGCTTGAACCAGGAACTTGAACCTTGGACTCTGCTTCTTGCAGTCTCCGGGTTTACACGGGGGAATTCCTGTGGGGTCACCTGGGCCCCCCAACTCTGTTCAACTCTGCCAAGACTATGTCACAGTCTGATGTCCTTTCTGGCTCCCGTTAAGTGTCTGATTCTAGTTCACAAAGCTTCAGCTCTAACTGAACTCTGTTACAACAGGGACAACCTGTCACAGATGGAGTGCTCCCCACTGGGATACCTGTACAGGCCCCTTCCTCAGAAGTCCTCCCCACACAGCCATTCCGAAGAACGCCTCTTGTTAACAGCGCCACCTGCCGTCTCACTGTCTTCATGGCATGTCAACTCCACCGGGCTAGGACTTGCTTTACTGGCTGCTGAATCTCCAGTCTCACTCCCTGCACCTGGGCCGATGCTCTAACAGCCACAGGGCTGGCCGGGGCCTGGCCCTCAGAGCCGATGGTTCTGGACCATTTTCCTGTGTTTGGGAGGAACTTAACACTCTGCTTCGGCCATGCTCCTTGCCTTGGGGCAGCCTTCCCAGCCAGCCGACTTCCAAGCTTTGCTGTTCTCTGCTTCACAGGACGCCCCTGCCCTTGATTATGTTCCTTTCTGTGTCTCCCGCTCCCTCTGGCTCAGCAGTTACGCTAACTGCACAAATACCTTTGTGTGTGTGTGTGTACAGACAGAAAAGTTTATTTGTGAAGGGACCAGGTGAACGGGGAAGGGAAGAGAGAAGGGAAAAGCACCTCCTGAAAAGCCAGAAGGTGGGGTACCTCTCAAAGGAGGGGAGGAGGGAGAGACAGAGACAACACAACTATTCTTTAAAAATGTTCTCTTGGCGCTATGTGGTGGCTCAACTGGCTAATCCTCAACCCCATAGCACTAGCATCCCCTTGGGTGTTGGTTCATGTCCCAACTGTTCTACCTCCTATCCAGTTCCGTGCGTGTGGCCTGGGAAAGCAGTCGAGGACGGCCCAAAGCCTTGGGACCCTGCACCCGCGTGGGAGACCTGAAGAAGCTCCTGGCTTCGGGTTTGCTTAGCTCTGGCCATTGTGGCCATTTGGGGAGTAAGAGTGGATGGAATATACTTCTCTCTCTGTCCCTCCTTTTTTCTGTAAAATCTGCCTTACCAATGAAAATCTTAAATAAAAATGAGATTCTCTCTTGATACCTAACAAAGTTATGAACATGTTTTGAACATCCATCTTGCAAATCTGAAGGATTAAAGACGAAACCTAAGGGCTGGTTGAAGCCCACTGAAGCTATAAAAGTCCTAGGGAGCTGATATGTCACTTGAGATCTTAATGTTTATGAGTACTTCAGAAAGTGCGTGCAGCATGGAGTTAAAAGGTAAGTTTAGGAGCTGGCAATGTGGCATAGTGAGCTAAGCCACTGCTTGCTTTGCCCATATCCCATATGGGCAACAGTTTGAGCCCAGGATGTTGTACTTTCAATTCAGCTTTTTGCTAAGGAACCTGGGGAAGCAATGCAAGACAGCTCAAATGCTTCAAATGCAAGGCAGCTGATACGGATATGGGAGACCTGGGATGAAGTTCCTGGCTCCAGCCTGATCATGGACACTTATCCTGTGGATTTGGACCATTTTTCGCTGCTTTCCCAGGCACGTTAGCAGGGACTTGGATTGGAAGTGGAGCTGCTTCCACTTGTACCGGTGCCCATATGGAAAGCTGGCATCGCAGGCAGACGTTAACCTACTTAGTACTTTTTAAAATAATCATTTGTTTTTATTGGAAAGTCAGATATACCGAGAGGAGGAAAGAGAGAGAGAAAGATCTTCCATCTGTTGACTCACTTCCCAAGTGACGGCAATGGCCAGTGCTGCGCTGATTCGAAGCCAGGAGGCAGGAGATTCCTCCTGGTCTCCCAAACAAGTACAGAGTCCCAAGGCTTTGGGCCGTCCTCGACTGTATTCCCAGGCCACAAGCAGGGAGCTGGATGGGAAGTGGAGCTTCTGGGATTAGAACCAGTGCCTACATGAGATCCTGATACGTGTAAAGTGACGACTTTAGCCACTAGGACATCGTCCCAGATCCATGCCTCTTTTTTTTTTAAGCTGTGTTGTGCAGGGCCAGCAGCAGATGGTCTGTGTCGGTGGGTTCCTGCCACATATGGGAGAGCCAGAAGGAGTTCCGGGTTCCTGGCTTCTGCCCAGACCAGCTCCAGCTGAAGCCATCTGGGGAGCGACTCCATGGATGGAAGATTTTTCTGTCTTCCTCCCTCTCTAACTCTTGCCTTAACAACAACACAACAACAAAACGCGAGGCTGGTGCAATGGCTTGATTGGTTAATCCTCCCCCTTAAAGCGCTGGCATCCCATATGGGTGTTGCTGGTGTTTCAGCTGCTCCACTTCCCATCCAGCTCCCTGCTTATGGCCTGGGAAACCAGCAGAGGGCGCCCCAGAGCCTTAAAACCCACACCTGTTCTGTGTTTCTCTCTGTAACTCTTTTAAAAAGTCACCAAAGAGAAAAAATATTTAAAATAAAAAGTCACCCAAAGTGAGATCATCTGATTACCAAATTATTGTGTGGGTGCATTCTATGTAATATATCTAAATTAAAGAATGGTACCAGGGGTCCGGCACAGTGGCCCCGTAGCTAACTCCTCCCCTTGTAAGTGCTGGGGTCTCCTATGGACACTGGCTTGTATCCAGCAGCTCCATGTCCCTTCCAACTCCCTACCTGTGGCCTGGGACAGCTGCTGAGGACGGCCCAAAGCCTTGGGACCCTGCACCCGTGTGGGAGACCCGGAAGTAACTTGTGACTTCAGATCGGCTCGGTTTTGGCCGTTGGTGCCACTTGGAGAGTGAACCAGTGGACAAAAAGATCTCTCTGTGTCTCTCCTTCTCTGTATAAATCTGCCTTTCCAATAAAAATAAATTTTAAAAAATGGTACCAGATAAAATTAAAGATGAAAATGAAGCTGTGCATCATCCACTATCAGATATAACAACTAATCCTTAAATTTTTTGTATCAAAATAAACTTACTGTAATTCCATCTTTCCACAAATCAAAAAATATGTCATTTTTATTGGAAACTGGGGCCACCAGGATAGGAACTGGTGCTCATGTAGGATCCCGGTGCATGCAAGGTTGAGGACGGACTTCAACTGCTAGGCTAAGGCGCCGGGCTCTCCATGAATTTTTTGAAGTATGCCTACACAATATATAGGCAAAAGGTTAAATCTAACTGACAAATCTGCGTAAGTTTTCTTAAAAACAAGCTTGTCTGAACATGTGTGCTTTTCACCAGCTGGTAAGACAATTATGAATAAAGAAAACATCAGGCTTTTTAGGTAAAAACTCTGAAGGCTGGCTTGTAACATCTGCATCCCAAACTGGAATATAGGTTCCAGCCCTGGCTACTCAGCTACCTGTTAACGCACACTGGAGAGGATGGTTTCAGGTACTTGGGCAGCTGATACGGAAATGGGAGACCTGGGATGGAATTCCTGGCTCCAGCCTGATCATGGTGACAATCCGGGGAATGAAAACCAGCAAATGGAAGCTAATATCTCTTTCTCTCTGTTGCTCTTTGAAGCAAACACACACATTTTAAAAATTTATTTATTTTTATTGGCAAGTCAGATTTACAGAGAGGAGAGACAGAGAGAAAGATCTTTCATCTACTGAGTCACTCTCCAAGTGGCTGCAGTGGCTAGGGCTAATCTGATGTGAAGCCAGGAGCCTGGAGGTTCTGGGTCTCCCATGTGGGTGCAGGGTCCCAAGGCTTTGGGCCGTCCTTGACTGCTTTCCCAGGCCACAGGCAGGGTAATGGAGGATAAAGAGTGTCTCCTGGCAGTTTTCTTTCTTCTTTTCTTTTTCCTTCTCTTTCTCTCTTTTTAAAAATATTTATTTATTTTTATTGGGAAGGCAGATTTACATAGAGGAGAAACAGAAAGATCTTCCATCTGCTGGTTCTCTTCCCCAAATGGCTGCAATGGCTGGAGCTGAGCAAAACTAAAGCCAGGAGCCAGGGGCTTCTTTCAGGTCTCTAATGTGGGTGCAGGGGCCCGAGCACATGGGCCATCTTCTGTGATTTTCCCGG